GGAGGAGTTAGCTACAGAAGGGATGAGGTGGTCCAGTACAACTACTGAAGGGACCATAAGGTCCAGGGGTCAACTGTGAGACACATTTGCATGTGTGTGTCTCTGCAGGAGGCACCAAGAGACAGCAGGATCCAAGGGCTAGCCCGTGCTTAGAGCGAGTGTCTAAGCCCAGTTCCCGAAGGGATCCACGGCATGTGTGTCTGTGCAGGAGGGTCTGAGTACCAGCAACTGCAATGTGACTGCAGGCTTTGGGGGTCTGTATGCCCAGTTGTCAGCCAGCTGGGGAGATCAAGGGTTCCAGGCCAGCTCCTTGGTCGCCTGAGTGTTGAAGGCCAGTTACTTGGGAAGCCATAGTGTGTGGCGGGGGGGTGGGGGGAGGTTCTGCTGTGTGTGTGAGTGTGCAGAGTATCTGGAAGGCCGGGGGATCCAAGGCCAGTTATTGTATAGACTGTATCTATGGCCAGTTACTGGAGAGCCCCTCGTGTGCCTCTGTCTGTGCTGGGGAGGGTCTGGGGGTGCGTGTGTGTCTGAGTGAGGGGTCTGAGTACCAAAACTGGGGCAGGGCTGCAGGCCTCGGGTGCCAGCAGGTGGGGAGGCTGAGGTGCAGAGCCAGTTACTGGACAGACTGCCTAGAGCTGGTTACCAGAGGGATCCACATTGTACACGGGTATATATTTTCCATCAATGGACCTTCATCCCGATCAGGCACAGAGGGGCATAGAATGAGACTGGCGGTGCTGTTTGTGTTTATGTGAGTGCTGCTTTTTCCATACGGATTGATCTGTGTGGTTGGCTGTGTGTTTGTGTATATGTGTAATGTATATCTGTCTGTGTGGGGGTGTGCGTGTGCACGCATGTGTCTATCAGAAATACATGTGCAGCCTCACTACTGGTTCAGCTTGCGGACCAGGACCTACTGGAGCCTTGACTCTAGTGGGCTGCTGGATTTGGTAACTCCTAACTGACATGTTAATTCATCAAAATAGCACAAATCTTACTATGAACTGCTTAAAATCCCCAAGCTATTTGGCCAGAAGTAGGACTCTAAAGCTAGCCTTTTCTTATTTAAAAATTGGAATCAGTGATTTTTAAAGATGTAGATTGATCAGAATAGTGTAAACACTTTATAGAGACCAGATGTTGGTTACAAACACAGAGCAAATTAATTTATCTATTTGGTTTAAGCTTCTTTTGTCTTTGCAGTAGAACTGCATTTAGGTGCCTTCTGCAACAGGGCCAACCAAGTCCTGCATCCAGCTCTCGGTAGTGGCTACATACACCCCAGAATACTCCAACAGGCAGTATGGCTGAGACAACCTCAGGTTGTATTCCCTACCTTGTGATCCAGTCTTCTAGCCTTTTCCCTTCACACACACCCATTGCCATGCTTCTCTGCGTGCAGCACAAAGACATTGCGTTGGGTGAAAATCCTCATACAGCAGGCTGTAATGCAGCTCTCTCTCAAAGGAAGATGACTAGGAAAAAAAAAAATGTACATACGTTATTGGGGTCTTTTGATGTTTTAAGAATGAAGAAAGCTCCAGAGAAAATGCAGAGTTTAAATGATAGGTGTTTGTCTGTGGTGAAGACTGCTGGAAAGCAGAATTCAGTACTGCCTGCAAAGTCTTGGCCACATATAGGACTGTTGCAGAGCAGTTACATGATCAGCACTACCAGCACAGCTTCATGCAGTGCTGGTTAAAGCTAAAGAAAATGAAGACTACCTATCTTTAATCCTGTGACCAGGATCATACTTGTAGTTACCACCTCAGGGAAATAGAGGAGCAGTGTCTTTCATACAAGATAAGTCAGTACTTACAGGGAAAAGGGCACATGTTCAAAATTAGTGCTGCACACATCAGCATAATAAACACCCTTTATCACACATGCTGAGGATTAGTATATGCAGAAGGCTTTATTTGGCTGGTGGAGTGATCCTAGCCCACTCTTTCCTGAGCATACCATACCGTGTCCCTCTTCAGTCTCGACTCTTGGCTCCTGTGTAAACCTCTAGACACCAGGGGTGACAGGCACTCGGAATGGTCTCTTGGGGGATACCCTGATGGCCTTCTTCCAGGAAGGTCAGTTTTCTTTTGGTGAGCTGAGAAAGTAGTCTTGAGAGCTGAAAGTGTGTGTATGAAAAGAGGTGAATCCTACCATTCCCCCATCATTCCAGATTCTAACCTGATTTGACTTTGGTCGGTTAACTCTAAGTTAGTTAGCCCTCAGCTCGCTCCTCAGAGATTGGATCAGATGATCTCCAGAAGTCCTTTCCAGCTTAACTTCTCTGATTCTCTGATTCTCTGTTTTATATAGTATCAGCCAAATGTTCACTCATCCATAGCCCCACAGTTCACAGCCCAGTTACACACATTCAAAATTTATTTCTTTGAATTGCATGTTGGGTAATACTGACACTTTCAGGATTCAAGATGAATGCATTCATATTTCAGAACAGCGAATAATTAGATGATAAATGCACACAAATGAGAAGGATCAGGTTTTGCAGATAACAGAATGCAGTAGGTCTAACAAGAGCAACACTGGATGGTTATGTGTCCCAGACTGTTCTTGACAGAGGCATTGCAGGCCAACCAACTCACCTGTAATGGATGGCAGTACAGGTTCTGTGTGTCACATCACCTAGCCAACTGATCAGCAGGACCTGTTCTGTGAGGAAGACGTGGTATCACTCAGATCCACAACTATCAAATTCACCAAAAGCCTGCTCTCTTCCCGTCTTCCCTTTCCATAACTGTTGAGCATAGTTAGGGTATAACATCGGTACAGAAACTTGAACCTCAGGTGTGGTTAGGATTTCAGAGTGCGTTAGAATGTTAAAAACTCCCTGGGCATACATAGTTTTGACTTTAGATAGGCAAAAGGCCACTGTTGAACAAACTTTACTTTGTGTCTTGGCTTGAACATGAAACCCAGCTTCTAAAAGCTCTGGGACAAAAGCTTCTCCATCCTCCTGTAAAACACAATATCTGGGGTGAAGGCGGGGTTTCCAGTCTTTTCTGCTAAAACCATGACACAACAAATAGTGGTAGAAGACTATCTTCTGACATTGGCTATGATAAGTATGATGACATATGATGACTGCAGAAGACATTATCTTGTATCGTAGCAGGAGCTGATATAAACTGATACCAGTAGATGAAGATACATCTTAAATATAGAGCTCCAATACTCAAAAAATATAAGCTGAAACAAATGTAATTGCCATGAAAACAATACACTCCAATTTATAAATCAAACAAAATGGCAAACAAAATGAAATTACAATCAAAGTGATGCAAAGCAGCAACTTTGCAATAAATGCTGTGTGCCCCAACACCAAGCTTCTTTAACTTTATCATGCTGTGAATGTTGTAGCTTCTAAAAGCTGCTCTTTTCTGTTCAAGTTGAGAAGTGAGTCAGATCCAATGCCAAAAGCCAATGTGTATATGCCACTCTGTATTTCTGCTTGGTTTTGCTGAAATCACTAATAACTAGCATTGAGCCCTTCTCTACCTCCATATCCATGAGGTACAAATCTCTGAGGTACGAAGCTTTGAGATGCCCCACAGAATGTGGGGAAAGGAGATGTGAAGGGAAAAGAATATTAAGTTTTTTGTGGTTTGTTCAGTCCACCAACACCATTTTTAAAAAATTGAAAACACAGCTGGGATTTGAAACTTTGTTATAATCTCACTGTTTTTATCAGGAATCAGAGCTCATGTGGAGTATAGTGTAAAACCTCTTGGATTGCTCACTCTACCTTGCCTGGGTTTATTGTGCTGACCACAGCTTTGTATTTGTTTTGTGTTTCTAAGCAATGAATGGCACTGAATTCTCTCACCTTCTGTGTACCAGTTGTGTTGTGCACATCATTTTGCAAAGGCCTGTGAGCTGTTTCAGTGTGATGTACCTCTTGGCTTGTTAAATGAAGCAGCCATTAAATCTGGCCTATCAGAATCTTTACCAATAGCTTTCAATACTGATTTATGAGTTAATTTTTTCAGACAGAAGTGACTATTCATGACTTCTGTATGCTTTGCGTATCAACGAAGGTGACAAGGAATGTCACTCCCCCTACCATTGTTCATTTAATTAACTGTTAGCTAATTAGCTATTGAATGGGCATACCACAAAACCAGCTCAATCTAATTTTGCCATTGCAGCATCTTATTTGCTAGCATATGGTTCGGTCATTCGCGCTATCCTTTTAAATCTCTTCAAATCTGTATGTAGAAAATAATGTTTATTTAACTCCATTAAATACTTAATTCCATTACATTATAAATAAATTTTAAGTAAGTTGTTTTTTCACCCCATGCCTCCTATCTATTGTAGGAAGCAATGTCAGGCATGGAGACACCCTGACAGCAGCATGACAGTAGAAATGGTAATTTTCTCTGGGATGCTTTCAAGGAAAATTGATTCATCCAGTACAAAATAGCTTAGATTAAGTTTCCTTGCTTTCTGTGTAGGAGATCAAGCTGGCTGGCAATTAGTGACTACCAACTTTTCAAAAAGCATTGCACAGAAAAACAAAACCCAAAAAGATCTCTAGAATCTTCGCATCAAAAGAATGATATTATAATGAGATGCTATCATATATGTAAAGTTTATATTATAGTGTTGTTATAATGACAATAGCTCTATATCTTGATAAAATATGGACCCTTCTGTTCTAAGGATGGAAATATTTGCTTACAAAGTCAATGGGAATTCTGCTATTAATTGCAGTGAGGGTAGAACTACACAAAAAGTGTCACAGTTGTCAGAGAGACTCAGGAGATCTTCTACAAATTCTGTTGCTGCTTTTGATGATTTGCATTTTATAAATGACATGAATTATCAGCCGCACACTATTGCCTTTTTTAACTTTGATTTAGGAGCAAAAATACAAACTTCTCAGAAGTCTTGTAGGGAAAATCTCTAAATGTACTGAATAAATGATTCTCTAAATCACTTGCCAAATCAGTGTGATTCCACCAAAGTGATACAATTTATTGCCAAACTTCTCATTAATATATACTATTAAAATATTTCCATAAAGACACATTAGCAGAACAACTTGACTTGTTTAAAAATATATGCAGTAAGTTGACACCTTTTGGAAAGTACACACAAAAATCTCCAAACAACAGCACTCCAAAGAGTGACAATTTAAGGCACATGATTATTTTTCAACTTTTGTTACATAAATCTCCAGCTAGACCATATATTTGTAAAATAGAATTTCATATATTTCAATAACTAGCTTCATAGCTCAGAGAGACAGAATTCATCTGAATGCAGGCAACACTTCTTTTTTTTTTAACATTTCTAGGTCATAGTGCAGCATAATAAACACTGTTAAAAAAAACCTTATCCATGGAGCAAAATGTATAGAAGAGACACCAAATATTTCTGCATTTCATCTTTTTTATAACAAGGTAGGCCGTAGTTACTTGTTCAATAAATAGTGACTGTGGAATTCCCAACTTGCCTTTCTTTGACATAGCATGTCACCAAAAAAAATTTAGAGACAGAGTTTTCAGCCAGGGAAGCAAGAATTGAACTGCCCTCACCAGAGGTAAACTGATTTACCAACTGATCATTCCAATCTAATTCACATGGTAAAAAAGAAGCCAATACATAGAGCCAGATCCTCAGCAGCACTAAATCTATGTTGCTGTGATGGAAATTAGTGGTGCTTGACTTGATTAAAGTGTGCTGAAGAAGCAACCAAATACTTGCACCCACAGGACATGTACTGAAATGTGAAAGTACATAATAAGAGTATGGAGGAAAAAAAAAAAGTGATACAGATTATGAACTCTTATACCCTTCTTTTTGTCTATACCCTGGTAGACATTGGGAGCAATTGCCTCAGAAAAAGACCAAGGAGTTCTAACCCACTGTACTCTAGCAAAGAGTGTGATCTTAACATAGAAATTGGAGACAGGAGGAGTTTTTTTCCATCATATTTCAAATTGAGAAACTGCCAAACAAAACCTTGCTGTAGAGGCAATTATACTGGAAAACATCTTCCAGAGGTATAAGAGCTTCAGAAATCATGCAAGCTATTCCAGGGAAAGGTCTCTTTGCTATCAGAATTGTCCATTTTATCTTTCATCTGTTTGACTATGGTGACACAACAGACAATGCTTAAGGCTTTTGAAAGTAAATGGAGAGTTATGCCTTTTGTACATAGTGTCTTTCCTTATCTTCTGTTGTTACAAATGGCATAATGCTCCTCTCTGTTTTGCAAAAACTACTAGAGTCCACAGCCCTCTCAAAAGCATACAGGATCCTACTGACTTTTCACAGAGACTGCTGTGTTTGTAAACACTGTGGTGTCTGTCGATCCTCTCTTGTTTAGCATAAAAGCATACAAGAACATAAAAATCTTTTATCCTTTGATATTTAAAATTGCATACCCTTGTGTGTGCACAATTTATCTAGTGAAAACTCCTATCTGCTGATGACAATTTACAAACATTTTCCTGAGGTAGCCTCTACACAAATAGATTAGGAATGTTCTAACTAGCATGCAGAAAACATGTCCACAGTGTGGTTCTTCTTCCAACTGAAACACAGCAATGACCTCTGTACAGCAGCAATAAGAAATGAAGGTTTTATTTCAAAGCCAACACCTGACAAGGATCTTGTCAAATTTGGTGTTGGTTCTTCAGCATTATGCTACAAGACTGGAGGTTAGATTTTGGCACACTGCACTTCACCTCTATGCCAATGACTAAAATACTTGTTCCAATTATAATATCTGGAACAGCATTAATATGCTCTACTTCACCAAGATAGTATGTTTATATGTAGTCAGTTCACAAAAAATTGTATTTACATTACTGAATTATAAAATTAGCATCCCTACTGGTGACAGCCTTATGTCTCATGACTCTCATTAACAACAGTAGCTCTGGGTGATGAAGCTTTCCAATTAGGGACACTGATTTGAATCAGTGCCCAAGGTGACTGCAAACAGGTGGCTGCTTGTAGGCTGATATCAAAAGAACCAATACTCTGAATCTAGTCTCTATAGGCATATGTTATGTATCTATCTAGGTTTGTATATGACATTTGTCGTCACATCTCTTCAATTTACACTAGCCTAACAGGCAGTTTTAGCAAAGATGACAAAAATAGGAAAAAAGTACGGGCACAAATTTTCACACATTGCTCCCTTCTTTTTGAGTATCTGGGCAAATCTCAGATTTGACATCTGACACAGAATCACCTGGAACCCATTCAAAATCTGGGTAGGCAGAGTGAAACAACCACTAATTCCTATAGATAAATTTACCAAATGAAGTATCTGTTGGATCCAGTCTTAAGCAATTCAGATACTTCCCTGAAGTTGACTTAACTCATTTACAAATGGTTTAGGCTTGATATCAAATAGAAATAAGGTACACATGAGGATCACAGAAGTGGCTAAGCACTCATCTTCTATTGATGCCAGAGAACCTTTGAAACATATACCACTGAAGATTTCAAGTAAAAATTTCAGTACTGGAATCATCCAAGGCAAAATACAGATAGGCCAGAGGACTATATACTGGCATACAGTCTTGTACATCCATGAGGTCTCAAAGTTTTCACTTTAATTAGTCTTCATCTGAGCTGTCTTTCACTGATGTCTCCAGCTGTCTTCAAGGTGATGTAGATCAGATTCATATGCAATAGGCATCTAGTGCAACCTTAAGTACAATCATTTAAAAGAAAATTGGGGACAAAAAAAAATAAAACAAGTTTCTAACACAAACAGGTCTATACATGCACAGTAGCCAAACTACCTCTGTACAATACTTGGAACCATCAACATCCTGAGTCATTGTGGCACTTAAAGCATGTGGCAAAACACAGGATAGCATCTGAGACACCGTTATCCTGATCAGCTATTGAAAGTGATACATAAATTAACAAGATAATCTAACAGATAATTTGGAAGGTGTCTTCCAAAGCAGCAGTAAAAATGACAAATATTTACACTTCTATCTGAGTGAGGCTATTTAAAATAGAGCAGCTTAATTAAGAATATGAAATTAGTTGCTTGTGACCACACAAACTAGAATTCTGAGCTAATTCTGGATGTTCTTTCATTCCAGTGCTACTGAGTAGAGGAAATGAAGGTGAAGGAAGGAAATGGACTTCCTGGAGTCCTTGATTAAATTTCAAGATGCCAGGACTTTCCTCTCCCTGGAAAGTTTCCCACGAAAGTCAATATTCCACAACTACTCAGTGACACAAATATTCAAGAGGAGGAAAATATTTTTCTTTAGCTTTCACTTATAAAAGGCACTGATCCATTTCAATCAGAGTAGACTTAGCAGGCAAGAGGCTAACCATTGGCTTCTCCTACGTTAATTTTATACATCATAAATATTGAATTCCATTACTGAAGCAGCAAATGCAGCCTATTTCTTTAAATGTATTTATGGCATAATGGCATAATAAACCATTTCCATGTAAAAAACCCAAGGATTTACCATTTGAAAAGATTCTTGGTTTAGCCCTCCAAAAATAATATTGAATTTTTGTAACAGTCTACGTGAAAAAATAACAAGGATGCATATTTCCCCTTCACTATGCACCCTTTCATTATGAATGAGAACTTAAAAATGTAAGTGCAGCAGAAAAACTCCATTGTTTCTGACATCATGAGACTCCACTCCCTTGCCATCTGAAACCGTTCTAGAGCAGATCCCATGAGCCAATGAGTTGGTCTCTATTTTTACAGAAGCCCTTTGTCCAAGTTATTCTCTCTTATCTTCTCCTTTCAAGTAAGTCCTGGCTCACAACTGTGTTTCCTCTTGTTCCAAAGAATGTGGAGGGACATGGCAAGATGCTGGAAGAGATGCTAGCTTCTGAAGCTTAGGGTGTTGCAGAGGTTTTGGCCTGTGGAAAGAACGTCGGCTTTGTACACGTCTGGCTGCAGCAGATCTGTAATTACCTTGTACATCAAGCAACATTTTCTTCTCTTGGGGCTCCTTCATATAAGAGTCTTCCAGTCCTTCAAACATAAGTAGAGAATTCTCTTCTTGTGAATTCTCTGACTTGTAGCTCACCTCAGAACCATAACCTGAGTTTACTGTCTCTTTGTTATTCGTATCGGTACCTGCTTCCCAGAAGAGATCAGGTACATCTGGGTCACAAGAAGCTATATACTCAGAGACAGTAGAAAGAGATATATTCCCTCTGTTTTCCAGTGAAGAATAGTTTTGTGTCCAAGGCATTTGAAGACAAGATGGGAAGAAGTCGAGGGGAGTCACTGAAACACTTTGGTTTTGGTTTAGTTGGTCATCTGAAGAGGAGTATTCTGTCATTTCAACATCATGGTCCATATCACCTAGAGAGCACAATTAAATAGAAACATCTGTAATACACACTTTCTATACTAGTATGCTGGCTACTGGGCTTTGCTTTTGGCTATTTTTATGGAAGTCCTATGAAAGTCTAGGTTTAAGATGGCTTTTTTTGCTGGGGAACTGTACCCTGTCCCAATTTCTGTCTTGGACAGCCTGAAGTGAGTTTATTAATCTTCTTATCCTTACTGAGTATCAGGCAAAACTTAGTTCAGTGTTTGTGATGAACAGCTGCCTGTTCCAGATATTTTCAAGACAGATCCATCATCTGGTCTTTAAGTTGTATCTTTATCTTGAAACATTTAGTCCTGATTCTCAGCAAGGAAATCTTTCAGAAACTTTTGAAATAAATTGTGCTCTTTCAAGCAAGTAGCAAAGGATATCACCTTTGATAGTGGAAGTCAATTTGGGAGTCAATTTTTTATTGACCATAGCCTGTGATCAGTTTTCTGTGCTCTTTAGACTATGCAGAGAAGCTTCACGTTTCCCCCCTTGGCTTCCAGTTTACACTGGTTTTTAAACATTCTAATTGAAATTTCAGCATCATTCTCCCATTAGGACAAGTGAGTTAAGGAGATAATTCAGAGAACTATTTCAGAAAGTAATCAAGGTCTAAACTTATTAGCTTGGGAAATCTAACTTCCCAAAACACTTCTTACAAAACACATCAGTCAAAACCCAGTGATTTTGGTATATCAAAGATACCTGCACAAGATCTTATACATACCAGTTCCTAATAATAAAGTCAATTATAAATAGGCAATACAATGGAGGAAAAGAACAAAGGTTAGCAAGAAAATGTTTAGCGAGTCGTATACCAATATTTTATGACCATGTTCTAAGTGAGGAAAAGAAGTGAAGAGTATTTCAGTGTGGTTAACTGTCAAGGAGAAGTTTTCCATTTGGAATGCTGCTCATTGTTCAAGTTTTTAATCAGGATATTGGAATTTAATTCACAGTTCTTTAATTAATCTAGTGTTCGTTTAAAAACATCATTTAAAAAAATAATGAAAGATGCATTGATAAGGAATGGAGTATTAAAACCAACCAGAGACCTACAGGCCACTCCAGTAAAGAAAGTGGTGTGCTCCCTGTAATTACACTTGAACTAGCACATATTCTGCAGGAGCAGAAGCCAGAAGAAAAATGGAACTTCTTTTTCTATTTCTTTTTAAAAGGTTATGAAGTTCTTCTCAAATCAAAATTACCATCATTCACTTTTACCCTGAGATCTTTGTCTGAAGAAAATTTCAACTAGCTACAGAAGTACTTTCAACTAATCACATTCCTTTATTTGTTGATGCACAGAGTCATACATCTGTGATCACAGAGTCAACAAAAGTGAATTCATGATGAAATGGACTATTGCATTTCATTGCATAATCCCAACAGCGCCCTATGTTCTATTCAAGTATGATACCTGAACTGTGACCTGACCCACCTCATTTACAGCACTGACTGGGTTGATTATAGAAGTGAAGGCTGCTTTTTATGGTGTGGAAAATTTCCACAAAGCGAGAATTAAAGGGCATCTAGGGTATTCATTTAAACCCAGAGTCAATTTAATTAAATGCAACAAGTTATTCACTGCAACAGAAATCTCAGAATTTTTCTGGTTTCAAAATAAAGTATGGATTAAGATAAACTCACAGTTTAAAGATAAAGGTCTAAGCAAAACTGGAGTTCTGCCACAGAATGGCTTTTGTATAATTATCTCTACCTTTGCAAGGGAACTCTGATGCATTCTAGTAAATGTGCTTCATTTTAAATTCTTTCTTAGGTACTTTAATGATTACATCAGCAGTGTCATTGAATATTTGTATTGTAGCAGTGGGACCATTTTTCCTTCCTGGGTACTGGATAAATAACCTGGAAAAATGTTCGGAACTGACTCAAGGCTTCTTAGCCATAGAGTCAAAAATCATATTCTAATCATACTAAGAATGAGAGACTTATTCCAGCTCATTGTCGGTCTAGCCCTGCTGCTCCTATTGTACATCCAAATGCAATAGAGTCCGATGGGCTAAACGACTCATCTGACCTCTTATGGGCAAACCACATGCTTTGGCATCAGCAACTGGATTGTCTTTCTGGGGCTTCAGACTACTTTGCTTGCACCTGCAGACAGTACTGACAATGTTACTCAAAAAGACACTGTTTAAGGGGCTTGAATCGGAATTATCCAACTCCTGTTAGGGAATTCAGGTACAAATTTTATCATCTAGAACGGAATAATCAAGAAACCTGGAGCCTCTTGAAAATGGGTGCACAATATTCTGGTGTTTGGAATACTATTTTCTTGACATATTCAAGCCAAAACAAAGAGCAGGACCCTTATCTGCTGTAAAAATAGGAAGGCATTAGACCCCAAATTGTTGGACATCTCTTCTGTAGAAGGAAAATAGAAAGATGTTTTGTTATTCAAGCTGGAGGGAAATAGAAGGTGTTTAGTTGTACAAAGGAATTAGGAAGGAAAGAGATGCTCTAGGAGAAGAAAAATCAGAAAAGTAAGTTTACTTGTCAGTAGTCAGGGTTGATAGGAAGTCTGATTATAAATAAAGGTGATAATATCTTTTAAAATATTACATATGTGTTGATTCTGGGAGAAAAGACCTGGGTCGGTCCTCTGGGCCGTCTGCTAGCAGGAAGGAATCTATTGATTTATTGCTGAGCCGGAATGGAGTGAGCCGTCTGAAGTTGGTTGGAGAGTATGGGATCTGCACTCGGGCCCTTTGTGACGGTACCACAGTATCTTCACTAGATAACCATGGTGAGAACTTCATGTAGATGCTTTGATCATCATCAGCTGAAAATACTGGGTTATCAATTCCTAAAAAAAAGTTCACGAGTGACAAATACAGTTAATAATTTCTTGGCAATATAGCAAGATGCTTTGTAAAGGGGGAATGGCTGTAGTGTGAAAAAAATAGGCTGATTCATGACAGTATTGGTGTGCCTAAACCAGTACACAGACCGTTACACACACACAAGTTGCTCTTTCAAACTTGATTATTGCTGTCATTTTGGATTTATATTGCAGCTATGTTTGGAGCAGCTGGAGACAAATAAAATCAACAAAAGAAGAAATCAGTCAGCAAATTTTAAGCAAAATAAAATATAAAATAACTGCAGAATATTCAAATCAAATCCATAAAAAAGAAACAAAAGATGGGGAAAAAAAATGCAAAAGCATAAACTGCACAACTCCATAAAGGAATGAGATGTGTGTGAGGAAGGTAAAGCAGGCCACAGAACAGTAAAAAGTAAGTTACAGGAGTGTTTTGACATCTGTCATGTCTGTAGTGTTTCAACAGAAGAAGAAATTTTACAAATTAGTCTAGGTCTGTGTCCTGGTAGGGGCTGGCCTAGAGCTCCCGTTGGTCTGGCAGCGGGAGGAGCTGCAGCCCCCTGAGACCCCAGGGGCTCCCCAGGGCCCAGTGCCCTCACCTGTGTGCGGGGGCGGGGGGAGCACAGCTGGAGGGCTGGGCCCCGATTGGCCGATATCCCATGTCACGTGACACTGTGCTCACTATATAAAGGCAGGAGAGGGCCGGGAGGGGCTGCCACTTCTGGGAGTGTGGCTGTGGGGCCTTGGGGTTGGGGATTGCTGGCTGGGAGCAGGCGGGTGATGAGCAGCTGTATGGTACATCACCCGTTGATACTGCTGTCAGCGTATTGTTCTGTTACTGTTATTAAACTGTTTTTATCTCAACCCATGAGTCTCCCTTTGCCTCTCCGATCCCCTCCCCATTCCCAAGTGGGGGGAGGGTGGGTGAGCGGCTGCGGGGAGTTTAGCTGCTGAGTAGGCTCAAACCACAACAGTCTGCATCTTGCCATCCACTTATCTCTGGATTGATTTCTGGATGCCTTTGTATATTCCCGAACAGAATTTGTCATGGAACAGTGAAAAGGCTGTATCAGCATGTCTGCTGAAAGAGTAGACACAAGTATTTTTCTTCACTGTATGCACCATGCTACATATGAACCATACTGAACATTCAAACAAGAAAGTGCTAAATACTAAATTTTAAAACTTTATGAATTTATCATGTCATTTCTGTTATATATAGTGATACACCTTGAATCTGATATTTTGGAGCCTTTCAGGGCTGGAAATCAAGTCCAATGAAAACTCCAGGAATGCTGCAAATCTGCCTTTTTCAGTGACCTCTATGAGCCTGCAAGGATCTGAGGGAGTCGTGAATTTAAGAGGAGAAATCCTGCCTGAAGGAAGAAGCATGACATTTATCACAACAAAGTGCTTCAAATGCAAGTAGAAAACAGTTCCAAAAGACTAGTATTGACATGTCTTGTGAGGTAGGACAACTCTACAATAACGTTCTCTGTTGCTAGAAATAATTAGTGGGTTTAGGTCTGGTTTAGACAGTCATGTTCAGTAGCAAATCTGATGCTCTCTATACCTCCAGATATCCAAAACTTTGTATTTGTTAATGTTAATATCAAACAAATATATTTTCTAATAGAATACATCAAAACCAAACAAAAAATACATGTTACTATTTTTTTTTAAGTTTGAGAAAAAAAAAAAAACCCTTCTGTAGGTAATTAATATTTTTACCATTAGGAGTGTCTGTGAAATTTTGCTTCGTCACATTAGCCAGGAAATCAACTCCTTTGCCTAGATGCAAAGTTTCATAATCATTATTTTCTTCTGATTCAGAAAACTCCAAGTCTGGAAAACAAAGTCCAATTTGATTAGAGATTTGTATCAGTTCTGATAGAAAATGCTATTCCATGCTGGTTTGATGCTGACATAGTTATCAAAGATACATCTTTAACAATGGTCTGGATAAGGGCAAAATTTAATCAACAGTTGTAGCACTGAAATTTGAATGTGAATGTTTATAGAGTTTGCAGTTTAGATACCAATTACATCAAGAAACTCAAAACAGGTTTTCGGCTTCATTATTATCTGGTGCTATGATAGAGATTTCAGAGTCTGGCTAATCTTTTGGCTAACAGCAATGTCTGCTTCCCTGGGACTGAAATAACCCAACCCGTGACATGGCACCACTGCTGCTGCTGTGTTTTGTGTCTTAAATGGGCACGTGTTGACAAATGTCATCCCACTACAATGACCAGTCACTGCATTTTCATCATTTGACAAAGGTCAGCATTAGTATCCTGACTGATTTCAAACCTGTTGAGGTCATTGCTGCTATAGCAGTAGAATCAGTTTTTCACCAGCTGCTAAAACACTTAAGTGTCTTCCACTGAACTTTTTTTTTAAAAAAAGAGGATGACATCTATACACAGTGTTCTTTAACAAGACAGCATTGAATGACCCACTTAGAAATATTCAGAAAGCTCTTCCCATGCAAAAATTTTCTAGAATATTGTACTTATTTAGCCAGACTGTATTGCCGCTGTCAGTCAAAGAAAAATAATGCTCAGAAAATTATTCAAAGAACACACATAAAGAAAAATATCTTTGCTTGGAGCTACTGAGAAAAGATTAATTCCTCTCTACTTTACTTCAATTCTTTTTGAGATCACAGGGATGCATGCATAAACAGAGGGAAGAACACAAATAAGAGTTAGTTCAGTGGCTTTCAAAACAATGTTTCAGTTTTTAAGTGACACATACTATTTTATAATTACATAGCAAATGTGTTAGTGTCCATCACAACTTGCTATGACTGGTATTAATGCCAAAAGATGGCTAAAACATGAGATGGATGAATCTGGGGCTTTACATGCAAAACCAGCTTTCACTAGGGATGCTCCCTATGCCAGTCACCTTCGGATTACACTTTCGAGGCTGACTTGTGTGCACCAAGGGTGAGTCAGTGCTGAAGCTGCCCTCTGACTGTGTGTTCCTTTCAAAGCTACGCTATCCTCGAGTTCAAACGTGCTTGCTTAATGTCAACTTTCATTCAGACCTGTCTAAACAAATGGACCTTAACTCAGATCGGAATGACATCTCAACTACTGAATTTTATATGGCACAGTGTCCTGGGCAGACACATCATGCTATGATGAAAAATAAAAATGGCTGAAGTTGCATTGTCCATATTTATCCAAAAAGAGGCTGAAAGTTCATCTACATTGTAGCCACTACCAAAATTGAAATGTGAAATTTTAAAACTGTGAGTGAAAAGGCCAATTAAAATTTGGTGTGTCATCCAGCTGCCTAGAAAAACAACTTCTAAATCATGGAGACACGACATTTAAGCATGGAGCAGATCCCCACTGTGAGTTCTGAATTATAACTAAAAGTCCCATTTTAATAACATCTTCACTGTTGCATATCACAAAATTTTTCAGTGATGCTTTACTGGGTAAGATGCAGTTAATGAAACTGATCTAAGAGTCTTTTTACCTTTTTCCTTCAAAGTAAAATCTTGTACTGGATTTTCTGAAGGTATTTTTCCATTTGGTATGACACTGCTGTTCCGCTGAAAGAAAACAAACAAAGTTACCAAAAACGCTACCATCATCAGATAGCAATGGCAGTGACATCCTTTGAAATCATGAGTTCAGCAGCATAACCCTGAAATCTGTTGTAATCTTTCCTTGAGACTCAATATGGATGTCATTATTTTCCCCCCCTACACTCATACTCACTACAGGAAAATAAAAGAACTTTGGCTGTTTCTATGCTGTACTTTCCCTCTTAGTTTCATCCAAATTTTGTGGAATGCTCTACACTGTCATCCTACCCTGCTACATCTACCCTGAAACATCTCCCCACAGTGTTGTAGCATGGCTCAAGGTCTGCTGTGTTTCAAGTGAACAAAAATCTCACCCAGAGGAAGGGTCCCAAAGCATAGAGAAAAGCAGCATGTGAGAAGATGCCCCTTGAGTTATCTCATGGTTTAATCTCCTCTTGCTTAGGCCTTTTAAGTTAATGAAGCTCTATAGGACAGAGACCCTTCAGAGTCCTCCGTGCCCTCCCCACCCCCTTAGTTTATATAATAGGTGGCTACATCTGGGTCCTCGTGAAAGTATTTTACCCTTTTTTGGCCCCGGTCTCGCTTGTGGATTTTATTGAGCTTCTTGGGATGGTTTATTCCTAGTTTGGTACTCTTGAAAGATTCTAAGCGCTTCCTCATTGTCCTATGAAAAATCTCCTTGTCTTGTTTCTCATCTTCATTGTGCATGATCTCATGTCGACTGTACAGGTGTTTGTGCTGTGGCCAGGAAGGGAAGACAATATTAATTTACTTAGAAATACAGCTGGAAGCCCTGAATCAATGCATTCAATCAGTGTCATGCAAATGTAAGCAACTCCATAAACAAGAATTAATCAAAGACTAGTCTGAAGGCATTAATGAAACTCGTATTTTTCTTTCTCTTTCTTCACCATGAAACAGGTGTATGTCCAGGAATTTTAAGTACATAAGAGTGACTGTCATTCAAAGTAAGCCTCTAACTACAAGTGTCTTAAATCACTTCAAATGATACACTCCATTTAATCCTGCTTCAGAACCTGTATTGGACCTAGTTCTTTATTCCCCTGGCCTCAGTGAAATCAAAGGCACTAATTCTGTTGGAGAGGCATGTTCATAAATGAGAAAGAATGTAGACAAAGAGCCTGTCTTCCTCAAGGGTGCAGATTTACAGATGGGCTCTTTCCTTTTGAGTTTTGTTCCCAAGGTCTGGTTCTTAATGTGTCCTTGTTTTAGACTGGAAAACAGTCCAGTGCTAGCCTTCTGCTCTCACCTCCTGCCTGGGTTTATACAGGTACTGTTGTAGTGTGTGATGAGCGACTGTGTCTTCTGTGTCTCGGATACTTTTCCTCCTCTGCTCTAAAGCTTGCATGTCAAGGCAAACTGGTCCAGCTTTTTCTCTCCTGAAGAGAAGTACAGTATGCAAACAAAAGTTTTTAAAATCAGTAATTGCTAAAGAGGAAGAAAAAACAGGAAAATGAGGAATAAGAGGGAGAAATCAAGATGAAGGGGAAAAAAAATAAAAGGAAAAGTTAAGATCAGCTAAATGAAAATGAGTGATCAAATACCTAATGGAAAATATGAAAATATTATTGTTTTTTGTCTTTTGGGTGGATGTAGCATTAATTTCTCAGTTTACATGTCACACAGTCTGTTTGGTGAAAGAATCTTGAAAAGAGTTAAGAAGCAAATTTTTTCCTCAATTTTTTGTGGAGCAGACATAGAAATGACGTCTAGCCCTGTCTATAGCAGTTGGTGAACAAAAGGCACATGAAAAAACTCTAAAGTGGATGTCTGCTTCATCTTACCAGCCTTTACTGCAAAAATTTGTTTGTCTGTAAAAGACAACAATATAACTGTATGTATACCCATTTTATGTGGGAGAGAAGGTTAATTGAAGTTCAAAATAGTAGCGAATGAAGTCCCTATAATTTACATTTTTCAAATTTTATAACATTGTTTCCATTTCCTCACATATAACAAAAAAAACCCCACACCCCCTTCCCCCAGTCAGTCCACACTACTTACAGTAAATAAGACACAGAACTTTCCACAGTACTTGGGCGTGGGGTGCTGAAATCCACATTTACCATGTTGTCTGTACTTGGAGAACGTATAAATGCCAAGGAACCTCTACGTTCTCCCTAGCCACAGAAAGAAACAAGACATATTACAGCTGTAAACACCTAGGGCAAAATGTGTCTCAGAAAAGGTGGATAATTTGTGAGGCTGCTGTACACAGATGGCACAAGAAGCAGGGTAGAAGTTGTATTTAGGTAACAAATAGAGACCATTTTTTGGTTTTATGGTTTCTTTACCTTGCGTGATGTTATCCCAATGAACAAAGCTAGGAGAAAACTATCCTACTCTTGTAAATTGATTTTGAGGAGGTGAGTGATTTCTTACGCCTCAATCTGCTTGCAGGTTATAGCCTTGCACTTTTTGCAGTCTAACTCTTTTCTCTTCACAGACCCTTTCAGGAATGGACCTTTTGTTTTGTACCACATTGTAAACCAAGTACATAGGGATATCTATGCAGATCTTAATGACACAACACATCACTGCACTAACAGTACAGTTTTCCCTACTGCTTGTATAATCTCTTGTTTAGGTGAAAGGTAGCTGTTGAGCAACATCATGGTTACCTAGGCTGAACCCATCAATGGTTTTGAATCACAACAGAGGGATATTGCATAGTGGGTCTCTACATTTTAAACTGTAGTAAAGTATATACCAAGAAAAAACATTTCCCTTGCAGAATATTGAAAGCGAGTTTATCTACATTTGTCCAACTTTAACTGTATTGTGTCTCCTTTACATTTTTATATTCATAGAGTAAATCAAACAGATGTTTCCTTTTACTGTGGTAGCCCATATACATGTTACAGTAGTACGGGTCAGATCAGGTCAGTGGCATTAAGTACAATCTGTCCTTTGTAGGCAGAAAACTTAAAAGAAAAAAAAAAAAAAAAAAAGTAAATTCTGGGTCTGAATTTCTTTTCAAATCAAGTGTAATGTTTCCTACATATATCATGCCATATCATCGGTGGAGGAATTTTAGCCAGAAGAAGTTATGAACTGTAAGTATTTTAAGTCATTTCTGTTCCCTTGCTCTGGATTATTTTCATTTTGCCTGGCTTAGGCTCTCCCTGCCCAACTGTAAAGAATTTAATTAGGCTCAGACTGAACTATCTCAAGCTCTTGTTTATTGTACAGATGCAGCATAAAGCAGATCTGGAAAAAAGAAAATATTTTAAAAAGTTTTTAAACACCTCAGTTTCTTGCAAGTGAGAAGAGAAAAAGCAGCTGGGAGAGGCAGATCTTTACTCCTTCTGGAAGAAATTGCTTCCATTTTAATGTCAGCTTGTAATTCACAGACAATTGGCTCAAAGATATATTTCAGAAGTCAAGGAAAAGTTGCTAAAGTGGTGTATCACTGAAGCAAATGTTAATGTGAGAAAGGTAGAATGACTTTAGTATTCAAAATTCATGATGATGAGGCATGTTAACATGACTAATTTCCACTGGAAGAAGCCATGTTGTGAATCTTTTGTAGAACCTGAAGAATTTTTAATTTCTTTGTCTATTAGTATCATATCAGTAGACATTTGCCAATAGATTCTGCAAGACACAATATACACAAATAGCATTTGGACTAGGGTAGCAAAAGTCAGTTTCATTGTGTTATGAACTAAACTAAGGTATAATGAAAAAGGTAATTGTTCTAAAAAATTAGTAATCTAACTTAATCTAAAGTTAATATATGGGATTCAAGACATTATTGGGTAAATATTCTGGGGTTAAATATACATGATTTAGTGATCTATAGAGGCCTTTGCATCTGTAAAAGAAAAAAAATACTGTAATGAATCTGCTGAACATCTTCAGCAGTGAATCTGAATATGAATTTTATGCTCAACATCATCAAAGTTATTATCTAACTTTCTTCCTCTGAGGTGTGACCCAGAAAGCACCACAAGAAAGACAACTAGTTCTTGAGCTCAAATGGTCTGAAAACTGAATGGGCAATTTATGAAATCTCTAAAGGAAGTATTTGCTTATCTTGTGAATCACTCCCTATTTTTCACATTAACGTAATTTCTGAATTTCATCTTATTTTCTGAATTCAGTATTTGAAATTCCAGTATTTTACTGGAAAAAGTCTGCCTGGCTATAGCTCATTTTCAAAAAAAAAGAAAAGAGATTAGTAGTAGTAGTAGTATCAGTCATAGTAATATAGTAATAGTGTTTGTTTTAGTTAAAGAAATTAACTGGTATATCACCTAACTGTGAAAATTATTTCACTTGGAGATTATGGGCATAGATAGATAATCACTTCAAAGATCACTGTTTAAAATATTCCATTCAAAACTATCCTCTACACTGTATGAATACTGCACATTTGTGGTGATTTGAACTAAGGTGGCCAGTTTCATACTGAAGAAGATTAAGAATTCTTACGCAATCTGTTAACATTGCTCCAGTCTGGGAATGGTACTCTGGCAGAAGGCAGTAACTTTTTTCCATTTGGTAACTTCAAAAATTTCTCCTGTTTCAAGTCTTAAGTTTCTCTAACTTCGCAATTCTGTGATTGCATTTGATATCTGTAATATATCACTTTAACCCTAATTTTTGAAGTGTGGGTGTTATGATTGCATTGAATTTAAGTTACCCTTCCCAATTTTTTTTTTTATTACTGTGGTCTGGCAGAATGAGATTATAGCAGTCCACTACTTTGGTCATATATCCACACCGTTTGGAAGTGAGCTTCTTCAATCAGAGTTGTCATCACATAGAACCACTGTTCTGCAGGAGCCAGACTCTGCTGACACATTTAGAAAGACAGTAGTTTGCCTGATCCCTTTGGAATTATATTACTTCTTCATTCAATGTCTATAGAAACAAAGTTATTCCATAAAATCCAACAGAAAAGTACACTGACAGGAGTACAATATACTCATAGCTGGGGATCAGGCATAATACTGAGAACTACAGCTACTCAAACAGGTGATATTGAAATTCAAAACACATTTAGGAAAAAAAAAGCAGAATAGAAATTAAAATAGTTTTCTTTTAGACACCTCCTGCAATATATCAACTTTAGTATCAATTAAAAACAAAACAAAACAAAACAAAACAAAACAAAACAAAACAAAACAAAACAAAAAAACCAAAACCCAAATGATGCTATAATATGTCAACAAGTGTTCATAAGTACCTCAGCCACATAGCTAATTGCATCCTTCAAGTTGAGTTCATGGAAAACATTAAGGATCTGGTCTCTTGATTTTTGAGCAGACCTTCTCATCAGTACTTTACTGAGGAATTTCCTATCAAAATTGGACCACCTGATAATTTAAACAAACTGTGTTAATGGCAACAAGCAATTTTAGTTTCACAGCATTTTTAGTTTAGCATAAATGATATTTTTGTGAGCCAAGCACTTTTTAAAAAATGGTGAACATAGCAATGTGAAGGATTTATGTTTTGAAGCTTTTCAATTAGCATTTAAAGAAAGTTAAGGAAAAGCCTGCTTCAGAGTTATGCAGCTGTCACAAAGCATTTAATAGGTTCACTTACCAAACACTACTACAATGGCAAGAGTGCTATGATTACAGTATCCGATTTCAGAGTTACTGGGACATTTTATACTCTGGGAGATCGTGCTACCTTATTTTTCCACTTCTGATTATGCAGTTATATTTAATGGCTTCATTCTAAAAGTTTCATTTTCTTTCCTCCTTTGGAAGGGAATTCACTTTTCCCCAGCTGGCCTAGAAAATCAGTTCACAACAACAATGCCCTTCCAAAAGCACTTATTCATGCCATCCATGTACTCTGGGCGATAGAAGTTATGTATGTTTTCTGTGATTTACACTTCCAAGCTTGTCTGATAGTAGGATAGTTTCATATTTAGGCTCCAGAAGATAAAGGCTGCTTTACTTTCATCTACCTTCCTCATGATTTTCTATAAAGGGCATGAGGCAACTTTGGAGACCACTATTCAAAGTGATTACATCCATCTTGCCCAATGGCTATTTTGAGTTTACAAATTTTATTCAGATAGCTGAAAACTTTTTGTTGTTAAACATTATTCACAGAATTCATAACTATTCCTCTTTTCTAGCCAGAACATCTGACAAGCAGTCTCACATGTCATCTGACAAGCTGCCACACTTGAGCACATCAGTGAGGATGCCAGGGGATGCCATTTCTTTGAGGTGGCGGCACTTTCATGTATATATAGTCCAAAAGAAGCAGACTTAAGGTGGTCTCGATCAGAATACATTAGTCATCAAACCACACACTCGACCATGAATCTACAGTAAGCTATTCCTTCTCTTTTTACTCAGGGAGATTGCTTTCTGACATCTAGGAAGTCAAACTCTGATCTGCCACTTTAAAAATATTTAGCTTCATCTTCAAGAAAATATTTCAAAACTGGGGGATATATTCCCCTGTATTATAGCCTGCTGAAACTAATTCCCAAAAACTAAACTAAAAATGTAGACCAAAAGACAGAGGATGTTCTATTTGGGATGCCACATGAAATTTCTTCACCACATAAATGAACAAAGAGCAAAAGGAAAGGAAGGAGTTTGTCCCTATACCTGGGTACAGACGGGTGAGCAATTCTGCTTGAGCTCACATACGATCTAGCTCCAGCCTAGAAGCTGTGTAGTTATATGAGCATAATGCTAAACCTAAGATAATGTACTCAGCTTCTCAGCAAGGGTTAGAGGAGGGCTCTGCAGAAAGCTAACACAACCACACTGGATTGGAATTTGGATTGGAGTGGACATGTAGACTTAGCAAGACCTTAGCAGGTCAGAACCATGACTGCACCTATGAGATGACCTAACTCCGGGGAGAGAACTGCCTAGCCTTAAATAACACTCTTAAAGATATCCAGATTTAATGGCCTTTTTTCACAGGTATTCATCTAGATTATGGAAGTCCACTATCACAGTAGTAACTCTTCATGTGTACTTTAAAGAAAATGGTGTCTGTATCTTTCAGCTGAGTAATATTGCTTCTCTCAAGATGAATAGACTATAAACAGAGGGGATTGGAAATGATCCATAATATTCATTATTGGTTTCGAATTAATAGGCTTAAATTATCAGAGTCATTTCAAAGCACCCTCTGCCATCACTTTCAGAGGTGTTGAACACAACCTTTATATAAATAAGATAAACAGCTAGCACAGTCATAGTTGAGTTTATTTAGTGTCTCTACACACAAATAATGTTTGTGAAATAGAGTATTACAGAGAAGGACCAACATTAACATTTTAGGTTAAATCTTGTGCAAATGGTCAGTTCTCAAATATTGAGAGAAGCTGATCCTTGGATGTGAATTGAGGCATTGGCAAAGGCCTAATCTGAACCGAGGAAGAAAAAATATTCCAGTTATAGGGGACAAAAATAAACTATTTTTAAATTTGCTATATTTCCAGTATCTCTAGTACATAACATTTTAAACTACATTTGACATCCTTGCTGTCCCTAAATTCATAGGTTTAAAAAGTCATAATTTACACATAGGATTTCCTAGCAGTATTTCAACACTCCAAATTACTTACTACTTACTTGTCTCTCATATAATTATGTCCTATTTGTCCAGAAATGTCTTCTATAGCAGAAAGGATGTGATCAAAGGCCTAGGAAAGTGAAAGTGGAATTAATACCTTTATAGAAATGAAAGGCATAGTTAGAAAAAAGCTCAATCAATTTATGTCACGTTAGACCAAGTGACTACACAGAAAATTTTATTGCTGCCAATCAGATTTTTTTCCCATTTACAGAAATATTAACTACTATATGCTTTTCTTCAAAGGTCCTGAGCTTTCTAACGAGAGGCTCAGCAAGAAGGTACATAAGTCCCCATTTTTACATTCATTTAATTCTTTGTATTGACTTATTTTACCATCTCCATTTCTGACCTATGAAGTACATCAGCCACTGTTGTATCGGTGACTGAATCAGTTGAAAAATTTCCCTAGTGTTTCTTCTTAGACTTTGCAGGAATCCATACTTCTCTCAGAGTAGAAGTAGGCACCATTCTTTTGATATCTAGGGCAAAATCCCATACTGGGTATTTTAGATGGTTGATAGAAATCATGAGGTTTATAACTCTTGATTCAAACCAAGGCAGTTGCAGGTAGAACTTGTCTTTTTGCTTGGTAACTTTTCAGTCTGAACATGGGAGTGACTGCTGCAGAATATGCAGCATGCTAGGTTTAGAACAACATGGGTGGTATGGATTATTCCTGATTATAATATTAATTACTGCCTCAGAAGATATCTAATACGGAAGTGGAGAAAATGGTATTATAAATAAGTTGTCTCCCTCCTACTCCCTAAGAACAGACAGTGCTGCTTCTCTCTGAAGGCTTCAATTTATACAGTTCTAGGAGCACTGTGCCTCCTGAGACAATATCTGGTAGAATATTCTAGGAAATGGTGAATCAGTACATACAATTTGACAAAGTGTTAGGATTAACATTACTGCTCGGTCTGCACTACTAACTGACATGTAAATGTATATCCCATAAATTCAGACAGACTATTTCTTCACCTGAGGGAAGAATCCTGATTTTCAAATAGTAAAAAATTTGAACAGAAATGGAAATTTGAGTTGCTGGATAACAAAAGCATGATGTATTTATTCAGTAGTCTGTAAAAGAATTCCTCAGAAACAAACCCTGTCCCTCACTAAGTTAATTCACTTCAGGTAACCTCTGCCATGAAAACAGACAAAATTAGAAGCTCATACAAGAATGTGTTTAAATACTCAATGCAGGATAGCTGTGTAAATCTGAAAATTTTATGAATTGAAGAAGGGTCTGAAAGCTGTCTTACTGTCTTTTGTCCTTTAAGCTGTATTTACATTGGAAATTTATGTTTTCTTTTACTTATGTGAAAGTGAATTGGAAGAGATCATGTTTCAAAATCTTTTAAAAGGTAAAGAAATGCAGGCATACACAGATTTCACACTGAACTAAAACTATTACCATTAATCTGGAATTTCAGTATGTAATTAACATCTGCACTGGGCAGCAGACTACCTTTCTCTGTAATATACAAGCTAGGAAGCCCGCTTTCATATCTTTTCCATAATATTTAAGAAGGAAAAATAAACTTACTTCCACATGTTTTGCACTAGCAATCTTCAGCCAAATGTCCCTCTCTTTTAGATGAAGAAACATATTCCTGTCATGCTTCTTCCCCAGTATTGTCAGCTCAATTAAACTCTCAAGTGAAAGACCGGAACCTTCAGTTGAGCAGCCCATCACAGGACTCAAGCCAAAGAAAAATTACAGCCTTATAGATAACTTCTGAAATGTTTCAAGGATTTTGTACTTGAAATTTGATTCCCCCCTCCCTTCCAAAAAATAAATTTTCTCCATTTTTTTTTTCTCTTAAGACTCTGTAAAAAAATCCAAAAGATACTATACTTTTGTTTAAAAATATCTTACTCTGCCATGAAGTTTCTCATTCAGTTTTGGGTCTCTGTGTTCAGTTTTCTTCACTTTCAGCCACTGTACCAAAGGCTTGATAGTCAGTCCCTAAGGATTGAAACATGTTAAATACTTAGGAATCATCTTAGAATATCCTCCAGCTTGTCATTGTTAAAGACAAACAGAACATTTTTGTATGTTATATGTTGGTTCTCATACTTCCTCTGTCCCCTTTAGAAGATAAAATAATGCAGTACCCTCAGTTCCTGTTACAAAGTTTTGAAGACACCAAGCAGTGAAAAAATATATCTTCTATATGAAAAATATGGTAGTGGAAGGGTTAAAGTATTTCCTATACCATTGACTGTGGTATTTTCTGCACATATCAAGAGTTTGTGACCACAATTAAACTTTCTATAATAAATCTGAGAAAAAAATCCAAGTTGGTATACACTGACATATCTCCATTTAAAATGATGGTTTTTCATCCATAAAGTGCTATTTTGTTTGTATGCTAAATACTTTCTTGTCCCACTGATTACTGTTATATTTTAAAACAAGGACTTAGGCTCAGGCAGAGCAACTTAATGACTGTATTTTCCCATAAAAAGGACTGTTCCCTATAGCTATTCACATGAGGTGAAGGATGTTTAATCAGATATTAACTTGAGTACTATTAATACCAAGCAGATAAGACTGAACATTTTTTAGCACAGAGGAAATTGTGTTTTGTCCCTTGTGGTGCCATATGAAAACATAAAATAGGATCTTTGTTACTAAAATTACAAATTCAATTATGCTTTCAGTTCAGTGAAACAATATGCAACCTTCAGCTGAGAACTGCTTTAAGCATTTGGTACTTTTGGGGGACTCCTTCTCCTTGCAAGAAGCATACTTAAGAAGTCGAATTACCTGGAAAATAACAGTAAAAAATACAACAATGATAGTTGTGCTGACAAATAGGTTTTTCTCTCTCACTTTGTCCTTATCCAGAAGTACAACCAGAGCAAAAGCAACCGCTCCACGTAGTCCGCCATATGACATCACCACCTGGTCTATTATCTCCAGCTGGACCATTCTGTAGTGGTTAAGAATCCATGTCTGTAAAACTACACCTACAAAAAACAAATGCCAGCATGTCTAGAAATACCCTTATGAAATGTCAATATCCCAACCATGTGTAACAGAAACGGTGCCACCAGTCTGTGCTCAGAACAAATTCTCTACAACATCTGCTTCTCCCTCTGCATCACTGCCCGTCCAGGGAGGAGGACAGGCCCACGCTGTGCCTTCCCCTTTACATTTAGCCAAAGGAATCGGATGAAGCTGCTTCTGTGAGACATCAGCGCTGCTGAGAGTGCTGCCCTCTGGCATAGGCACTACAGGCGAAATTCTGCTACGTATTGACCTTTGAAATTTGCGGTTGAGAAAGAATAGAATTTCTAGCACCGTAGTCAGTGATATGCACAGGGTCTTCTAACAGAAAAAGAGTTGAAACAGAGTTGATTTAGGCAGTAAGTGTGGTACCATTTACAAATCACTATAAAAGTGACATTAATGTCATTGTCGTACGGAGGGTTGTGCAGTTATGCCAACACTGTCTTCAGGCCTACAGGTGAGATGCCGCCTGCTGTAGGAGACCTAAAGCTCTAGAAATCACAACGTCTCCCTGAGGTCCCACCCTGTAGAAGGAAAACAGCTTCACCACTCCCGAGAGTGGCACAGCATGTCTGTCCCACTGCAGCAGGCCCCCAGTGTTAACTGGTGCAAAAGAGGTATTGCTCTCTTTAGAGAACTTTGGACTTGTGCTACGGGAAATGTCATGTGTACGTCATTGTAAGCAAGGCCTCAGGTGGAGACAACCTTGAAAATTAATTCACGCCACCAATATGACTCCTCCAAGGGAATGAGATCTGCAATTACGTAAGACCCAGTATTATCAGGTCTTTAGTAAATTATCAAAGACTAAGATCAATTACTTTAATGGATGCATATTGCTATTGCTGGATATTTACTATTTTATTATTGATCATCCTTATTACAGAATTATTAATCACTCATTCCAGGAATACAAGTGACAAAGTCAAGCTACTGGAAACTTGTTTAAACACTTCATGCACATCAGCGGTTACTAAGAGGTGGCTAAAAGAATAATGGTTACAAACTGTTTAGAAAGGAGGACATGGGACTAGGCACTTCATTCAGCCCAGGAATCTCTAGACAGCATAAGAATAGAGAGTCTAGGAAAACTTCCAGAAAGATAGATGAGTTACCTTTTATTTGAATTTAATTCAAGACAAACAGGCAAATAAACCCATTTAATCTATTCCTAGATGTTAAGTACATACACCAAATCACTATGTGTGTTACTCTCCAGAAGTACTTCATTTTATACCTTTTTTGCAATTTTAGCCCCTTTGCTATTTCACAAAACAGTGATTAAATAGTAGAACTACATAGTTGGGCAAATTGTCTTTGATATTTTGAAATGTCTGCAAACTTATATAAACCCAGTAAATTGACAGTAAGTAATCCCTACTTGCCACAGTCTTATTTACTCAGTTTTTCATCTGTCCCTGAGAATTGTTTCTTAAGCCACAGAACCTGCAGTGTAATTATGTATGGTCTTACATCACTGTGTGTCTCAAACCTGAAGTCAACCATAAAATTAGCTTAAGACAATCTCTTTATTACCAAATTGAAAGAGCTGAAGGGAAGAGATGGCTGACAGGACTCACATCTTTTGTTAGGCTGCAAGTTAAAGAACAAAGTTCATTTCTCTGGGAGATTTTGCCAATACCATGTGCTGGCTCGACAAAGGTTAGCCACTGGGTGATGCATGTTAACCACTGGGCTAGTCATATCCTCACGTGTCATCAAAAGTGGAATCCTACCGTATTTTCAGCATATGATGAAGCTTACTGTAGAGATCTACCCTCCTACCCCAAAACCAACCATAAATTCAACCATAAACTATTAATGGAATATTTTAAAAGGAACAAGTCTAGAACTCCAAATTCATCTTTTTTTTTTTTCCCAGAATAATATGTGATTGCATCAACAATACAATGCAAGGACAAGAAGAAGGTCATCCCCTTACCAATAACCCTATATAGTGAGATGAAGACCAGAGTCAACAGAATAAAAGCTGTATTCCAAGTCCAGATATCTGGGTTTACAGCTGAAATTCCCAGGAACATGAAGATAATAGTTTCTGCTCCACTCGCCATCATTTTCATGGTATATCTGACAGTTGTAGAAGATTGTTCAGATATGTTAGCCTTGACATATTTCTGGCAGCAAATGCCACAGAAAGTTATCCTAGAAACAAAAAAAAAGGAAACAATTGTTTAGAAAATATTTGTTGTAACATTTAGTATTATTTCCATCTGTCTGTCATATAATAATAAAACACCATCATTAATTCCTAAGAAAAAATATACTCACGACCGATTGTGGAGTCTAATCAAGGTAAAAAGCATATCTCAAACATTCATCCTGAGGTGACCCCAAGAGGTCTGAAAACAGCATATCATTAGATAGCAACAGACTTTAATTCTCTTCAGATTACCATACGGCTTTACATGCAAAATTTTAAATCTTGTTTACATTAGACATCGTCTTAAATTAATGATCTGTTTGCAGCAAGATTTTCAGATCTTGAACATACTCACTGTAGCATCTACAAGCATGACAAGCAAAACTGAGGAGAAAGGTATGCCAGGAATCAATAGATACTAAAAGAAGAAAGACCACAGAGGTACTCAAACCAAAACAGAAAAGATTTAGGCAAGCCTTAACAGCCCAGTCAAGACAGTGAGAGCAGCAAATAATGGACATTCACATGGCGCCTTAGAAGAACATTGTTTTAATTACAAATTATAAGGAAAGATGTCAATACAAATGGGCAACTTAATTACTGAAGTATTATTAATAACAAAGAGGAAAGAGTCAAGTATGTATTTTGCAAAGGAAGTTCTCATCTTGCACAGCAAATACTGGACAACTTTCAAGTTTTTAAAGTTTTCAAAACTTTCCTTTTCAAGGCTGAATGACAGTATTTGCAAACTATCATCTACTGCAGTGTGAAGATAGTAATATTCAACATAAGCTTCATGAGTGTCTATTCAATAGCTGTCCTACATAATTTAGGTATTTCTTTTCAATGTTTTTAAAAACCATATTCCCTTCTCAGCCCCTTCACAGGCAGTAATAAAAAGAGACTTACGCAAGGATAGCGGAAAGGGAAAGCATCTCTGCTGTGAGGTATGACAGGTACGAAATGATGAACACAAATCCAGGTTCAATGATTCTCACATGCTTGGTGAAACGACTGACCAATGAGAGCAGGAATGCAAAGAAAATGCCAACCAGTGTCCCACCCAGGCTCACCACAAAGAATGATACTGAAAAACAAAACCAAACACAGCTTAAACAGTAGAAATACAATGGTTTGAGCTAGCTCTCTTTTATTGTGTGGCCAGTGAATCAGAGAAAATTTTGTAGGACACGTTGAAAATTATTTCTAAAATGCAACAACATTAATTGCTTTTGAGCACCTGGTATGTGAATGCAGCATTCTGTGGAAAAAACAAGGTTACTTTCTGTTAAGCATCACCATTTTATGTTTATTCAAACCCCATTACATTTCTTAGAACAATTTTTTTTCCCACATTCTGTAAATTCATGCTTTTCCAAAACTGTATTATTAGAATATGCCAAAGTCACTGTTAAAACATTGATTCATAAGATAATGTAGTATTATGTCATGCTTGGAATGGGAAGTAATGACTAAATTCTTAGTTAAATAACATTTCTTAATAGTCACTAACAAACATTGCGTGATGACAAGCAGTGATAAGGAGTGAGAATGCCCATATGAAATCTCAAGTTTCCTGGAATGTAGGGAGAGCATAGGCTGAAACTAAAGACATGTTATAAAATACAAATAAAATATGTATAGCTATCAAGTTTGGTGGTCTTAACAACTGAACTCCACATCTGTTGAGTCTCCTCAGAAGAAAACAAATCTGATTAAGTTTCCCAAATATTCAGGAATATTCACTTATTTATTTTCTTAAGACATTCATCTGTGCCACAGGAGTGTGGGAATATGAGCGACAAGAGAACGGGCTGAAAAATAAATTACTGATAGCATTATTATTATTATTATTATTATTATTATTATTATTATTATTATTATTATTATTATTATTATTATTATTATTATTATTATTTAAATAAATAAATAAATAAATAAATTAATTAATTAATAATACTTTGTTTAAAAGTCTGCACATGTACATCAATGATATGATACAGAATTCAATTCTACGCACCTATGCCTTTGACACAGTCAGTCCCCGTCACATTTGCTGCACCTATTGTAACAAAAGATTCAAACACATTGTACAGCACCTGAAAAGAAAAGTAAACTAACTTAATATTTGCTTCTGAAGTAAGCCTATTAAAATAATTTCATTATGGGCCCCAACTTTATGAATTCTGAAATTATGTATGCCTAAGGGAAGTTCTGTGTGGAGGGAGATTTCACACATTTCTGAATTTTTCAAAATGGAAAAGAAATGCAGTGGAGTAAGAAGAAAAGAAAAGTTTTAAAAAGAAAACTTTCCATTTCTTATTTCAATATGATTTCTATCTGTAAGAAACACTGTTAGATCTAGATGTGTTTTCTAAAGCACTTCTCACTCTAAAACCCAGGTATTTTACAAATTTCTTTAAACACCTGTATAAGATAAATAAGATAATAAGATAATAGTAATGTGCTAATAATAAAATATTGGATTGAAATAGGCTAAACATATGTAAAATAAGTTAAACATAAAAGAGAATAAACTATAATAATTGTACTAAATCTTTTAAAATAATTGACTAACAGTGATAGTGCTGAAAGTGAAGAATTCTTATCCATACCCCTGCCTAAGGAGGTTTGTATGATCATCATTCTTGACACATGCTTGTCTGTTCTTAATTCTTCCAGTGATGGAGAAGAACTTTACTATGGCTTTCTCAGCTTTCTTTCTTGCAGCTAAGCTTGTTAATTCTTATATTTACCCCAATCATGGCATACAGGTTATTTTGTTCTGTAACAGTGGTCTTTTACATATTTACATTTAAAGAATGCTACATCATCCACTTTCTTCTGTCCTCCAGTCTTTCCTTTTTCAAGGTGAGAACCCCAGTTGTTTTAAACTTTCTCATAGGCTGTGCCTTCTGACTCTTGATCATGCTCTTCTGGATTTTCTTCAACAATCAAACTTCCTTTTATTTGTAGAGCAAGTGTTTGTATTCATTTCACAGTAACAAAAACTCCTTTCCTTCTGAAAGCCATTGATGTTGATACTTGAGTTCATCAAGGGTTTATTTTAATATTTGTTTTTGGTAATATCCCAAAAGTCCTAATGAGACTGATATCTAAAGACAGTTAGGTTTCTCTGGAGGTCCTAAATGGCATTTTCAAACTCATGTGAACAGTTAGGCTGCTGTCAGTGACCTTGCAGTGCCTTGCTGCCTTGGTTGCAAAAAAATAAGTCACTGAGTCTGGTGGACCCTCCACTGGGGTTCTGCAGTAGCAGGAGCAGGAGATGAGCCATGAAGCGAAGTGAAGCTTTATAACAACACAGTTGCCCAGCATCTTTCTGACATAGGACTTCTTGGTCCCTTCCCACTAGCACTGCACTACAAAACTATTGTATTTATTTCTGTATTTTATGCTGAGAAAAATTTTGTGTGAAAAAGTGTTTCAATCAAAATAAAAACATACGTATAAATTTGGGATTGTTTTAAGTTTATTGAAGTTTTTCTTTTCTTTCTAAGTGGAAAAAAAAAAAAAAAAAAAAAAAAAAAGCCAAAACCAAAACAGAAATTAACATGTTACCAAAAGAATCCAAACCAGACCAGAAACTTTCTAAAATTTCCCACAATTTTTCCCAAATTGGCTCTTTGTTATATATCTGTTTGATAAACATCTGATAGAAGAAACAGAACAGGCATAAACACTTGGGTGAGTATTCACTCTCTTGCTGTCTATATATTTGAAGTATGCATAGAAATTATTAGCATAATGGAAAAATGTAGAAAAGAGTATGTACATCAAAACAGAGAAGAAAGAATTAAAATCACTGGAACTAATTTCAGTAAGTCGTGAAAGCCCTACTTGAACAGCAAAGACAAATAAAATGTACACACCTGAAACTTCATTTTAAATGTTTTTATGCTCATACGACCCAGGAATGTATATTTTTATGTGATTTATAGGCTCCGAATAGCTTTCACACTCAAACATTTAAACTTTGCAATACAGTGTTTGTAAGCAAGAGAACACCATGAGCTACTCTACACTAGCCCATGGATAGATACACATAGATCATACAGTGTTTCATTGAAGGGGAAAATACACTTCAGAAGAAACCCTCGAGAGTTTGAGTGTCTTTGGGATATATAATTTACTTACCACAGTTACGGCATCATTCAGAAGCGATTCTCCAAAAACAATGATGAATAGAACTTCATTGACATGGACTTCTTCAAACACTGCCAGAACAGCTACAGGATCCACAGCAGCAATTAAGCTGCCAAACAGGAGAAAGTCCAGCAGTCCAGTATCCAGGTGGCCTTCAAAAACAAGGCAAACAATGTATAAGCAGAGATAGCTCTCTATTATCTATAGTAATGACAGACTGTGATATCGCAGATAATCCTTGAAATAATTCAAAATCCTTGAAAATAGGGACCCTAAGGCACCAACTGGAAAGTATGGCACAGAATCATAGAATGGTTTGGGTTGGAAGGGACCTTAAAGACCATCTAGTTCCACCCCACCCTGCCCTGGGCAGGGCCCCCTTCCCCCAGCCCAGGGTGCTCCCAGCCCCGTCCAACCTGGCCCTGAACCCTTCCAGGGAGGGGGCAGCCACAGCTGCTCTGGGCACCCAGGGCCAGCGCCTCACCCCCCACACAGGAAATAATTTCTTCCTTATATCTAATCTAAATCTACCCCCTTTCAGTTTAAAAGCACTACCCCTCATTCTATCCCTACACTCCCTGATAAAGAATCCCTCCCCACCTTTCTTGTAGCCCCCTTTAAGCACTAGAAGGCTGCTATAAGTTCTCCCCAGAGCCTTCTCTTCTCCTGGCTGCACAACACCCACTCTCTCAGCTTGTCCACAAAGAGGAGGTGCTCCAGCCTCCCGATCATCTTTGTGGCCTCCTCAGTTCCATATCCTTCTGATGCTGGGGGCCCCAGAGCTGGACAGAGAGGGAGAGAGAGGAGCAGAGAGGGGACAATCCCCTCCCTTGACCTGCTGGCCACACTTCTCTTGATGGAGCACAGGACACGGGTGGTTTCTGGGCTGTGAGCACACATTGCTGACACACAGTCAGTTTTCCATCCACCAACACCCTCAAGTCCTTCTCTGTAGGGCTGCTCTCCAGCCACTCCTCACCCAGCCTGTATCTGTGCTTGGGATTGCCCCAAACCACAGGCAGGACCTTGCACTTGGCCTTGCTGAACTTCGTGAGTTTGCATGGGCCCACCTCTTCAGCCTGCCCAGGTCCCTCTGGATGGCATCCCTGCCCTCCAGTGTGTCACCACACCACACAGCTCGGTGTTGTCAGCAAACTTGCTGAGGGTGCACTTGATCCCACTGTCCATGTCACCAACAGAGATGTCAAACAGCGCCGGTCCCAACACCAACCCCTGAGGAATGCCACTCGTCACTGGTCTCTACTTGGACATGAAGCTGCTGACCACAACTCTTCAAGTGTGACCATCCAGACAATCCCTTATCCACCAAGTGGTCTATCCAACAAATCCATGTCTCTCCACTTTAGAGACAATGGTGTCATGCAGGACAGTGCCAAATGCTTTTCACAAGGCCAGGTAGATGACATCAGTTGCTCTTCCCTTACCCATCAACTCTGTAACCCCGTCACAGAAGGACACCAAATGTGTCAGGCACAATTTGCTCTTAGTGAAGTCATGTTGGCTGTCACCAACCACCTCCTTATTTTCCATGTATCCTAGAACAGTTTTCAGGAGGATCCTCTCCATGATCCCATGATCTTGCCAAGTACAGAGGTGAGACTGAGTGGCCTATAGTTCCCCAGGTCTTCCTTTTTTCCCTTTTCAAAAATGGGGGTTATGTTTCCCCTTTTCTAGTCAGCGGGAACTTCACCAGGCTGCTACAACTTCTCAAATATGATGGATAGTGGCTTAGACATTTCATCTGCCAGTTCCTTCAGGGCCCACGGATACATCTCATCAGGTCCCATAGATTTGTGCACCTGCATGCTCCTTAGATGGTCTCAAACCTGATATTCTCCTACAGTGGGCAGTTTTTCATTCTCCCAGTTCCCACATTTGCCTTCTGTGTCTTGGGCAGTGTGGCTGGAGCCCTTGCTGGTGAAGACTGAGACAAAAACGTCATTGAATATCTCAGCCTTCTCCATATCCTGGGTAACCAGTTTTCCCATTTCCTTCTGGAGAGGGCCCACATTTTCCCTGGTCTTCCTTTTATCACCTACTTTTATAACCTACTGTTTAGAAACTACTTAAGTTCTGCATAATGTCACCTTGTGTCCCATAAGGTTTGTTGGATCCAGCATTGGCCCATGTGAACCAAAATTGATTCTGGGAGAAATAGCAGGGAGTCCTGTTCTTACGGTAAGCCACTTAAAATAAATATTTCCAGATCTAAACTGGTTTTGTATTTATGCATGGTATGGTTTGTCTAACTTGAGTAAATGATCTCAGAATAACTGAGAATTGACAAGATGGTAAGAATATACCAGTACTCCTGAAGTAAACCTCATGCCACAGACCAGATTTGACTCTTGGTCTCTAAGAACTGCTACAGAGGGGCTTAACTGCACTCAATGCAGTTAAGCACTACTCGTGGCCTCCTTATTCAAGTAGACATTCATTTATAGGTGCAGTTAAGACACTTGTTCCCGAATTATGATTCATGAGGCCAATGTTAAATTGTCCACAAGTGGATCATAGAAACAAATGAAGGGCTAACATGTACCTCAACATGTTTGTTTTGTAGCCCCTTAGGAATTTTGGCAATTATTTCAAAAGTTTTAGAACTACAAAACTGTGGTGATAAAGTAACCCAGTTTTTTGAGGTTTTTTAATCTTCTTTTAGTTATTAAGGTTATTTTGTTCAGTTATGCAAGGAGACTGAGACAAACATCGTTATAATTTTAAAAGTAACAGAAAAGGGAGAGCCACAAAGATCACTTTGCTCAGATTCCTAAATGTCTTGCAAAATTTACCCTCTTCATGCAATCAAGAGTGGTACCCCAGTCATTTCTTCTGGGAAACAGATTTCTGAAAGGATAAAGAACGGGAAAATTCCCTTTGTGTTTGTTAATGCATGGAGGAGGAAGCAGGGTTGATTAAGAGGTGATGAAACCCAAAATTATATGAGGAAGAACAAAGAAGGAATATGTTGGGAGTTCATTCATTAGAACACGGTGTAGAGGCCCATGCCCAAATTTAACAGGCAGTTGTATCAGGCATGATTTCTACAGGTAAGGGAAAAATCCATCTGATTAAATGATTTGGAAGCATGAGTCAGACAAGGACAGTCAGTAGCCATAACAAAAGGATCAATATCGCCTGTAAGGTACTTCCAGAACAACACGGCCACTCCTCTAGCAAGAACTCTTACAAGATAATTTTTTTTAAATCCAGAATGTTAGTGCTTGGAAGCTAATTGGAACCTGAACTAGGTTCCAAATATTTGAGATACAAAATGGCATGGGCATTTTTACTCACGAGGACACTTACATGGGCAGCCAGAGACAGAAGTCAACAGCACCCTGTTGTACACAACAATGGACAATAATCTGGGGGAGCTGCAGAAGTACATATTCTCTTAGCTGCTGTCTGCCAATCAGAGGATCTGCAGTGTTCTCCATACAGTTTATAAGGACCTCGTAAGGCCCTGAAAACAGAAATGTATAGTTTGCACAGACATATAACTACTTCATATTTTCAAAAAGGAGAAATAGTCTTGTTCACTGGTGGACATGTTGGGCTGTGAATGAGGACTGAATCTATTCCTTTTAGTGTGAGAGAGGAGTTGAAGCAGTGAGCTGAAGTCTGTGCCAAAAATTCTGACAACAGCCTTGAACCTGGATCTAAGTAATGGTTCCATCAGATGTTGTCCTTGTCTGCCATGCTTAAGGAAGGAACGAGCCCAATGACAATAACTCAGATATCAGGGTACAATAGAACGTAAGCTTTAAAAAATAAATTGTCTCGCTGAGATTGCTTATCTTTTTTATATGTTACCAATTATAATCACTGGTACATTCTTTGAAGACTTGCAAAGCTGGTGAGCAAATATTTATGGAAAGATTAGGACACATCTATAATTCCTACAAAGCAGTGTCAAGAGGCATGGGGTTTCTAAATCAGACTCTTATTTAGAATAATAAGGCAAGTTATTTCCAGATGATACATGACCATTGCTTCCTCCAGCTCACCAGAGTCTGGAATGACTAGCTGCCAGCAGTGACACTGGAGCAAGGTAAGTTTGCTGGACCCATTTTAAGACTCCTACACATGCTCAGCATGTCATTGCTATGACCCAGATCGTACAAGAAAAACTTTTCTAAGCATCAGTCACAAACATAATTATTCCACAGAGAAGTGCAGCATGTGTTAGTTCTCCAGCAGATGGTGAACAGTTAGGTGCAATCAGCCAATTGCAATGGTATGGTTGTTAGTTAATGGTTGAGGTGCTGATCTTTTAATTTCACTTCTAAAGAAGGATTTCTTTGTTATTATCACCTCTCTTTTTCTTCTGCAAATTATAATATCTATAGGGATATTGAATATAAACAAAGAGCTGCTTATTTATGTAGGAAATCTATGTAATCCAATTTGGATTATGCACTCTCATATTGATGGACAGTACTACAGGCCCATTCAATGCTCAAGTTGGAAGTAGTTCGTTTTCAGTTCATCTTAGTGTGTGGTGGATATACATTCCTGCATTTTTATGATATTACTTTTACTATTATTCACTCCAATTGTAGAAAAAGTGAATAGCAACAAAAATATGCCATAGAACTTCAACTAGAGGCTGCCTATGAACTCTTCAAGAAATTAAGTAACTCAGTGTTCTCCTGTCTTCACAAAGTAGGTAATAACAGCAAGGCTTTTCACAATGTGTGGTGCTCAGATCTTGCTGACATCTTGGAGGTCAACACAATGTATTTAGTGGATTGGTAAGTATGTGTTATGTAGATATTTTAAAGTCCTACTTAGCTTTGCTGGAGAATGACATAGTTTGAATCAGGGACAGGCTTCTCTGGTCTTTTCCAGAGCTGAAATTAGAACTCTAGTAGGTTAAAATATGTCTTGGTACTAAAGACAGGTCCCCATAGTATACCAATTAACACTCATCCTAAACATTTAAATTCTCCAGGCATGCCAGTTTATTGTTTGCCTTTGTTAACATCCCTATTTTTACTTTGTAGAGCTTTAGTTCTGACCTGTGATAGGGGCTGATTCTCCTGTTTAGCTGTAAACTCAGAGTTCTAGCATATACTGTCACCAAAAGATTTGAATAATGATGAAGCAGAACATGAAGCCATGAAATTCACCTTTTACAGTTAGTCAAGAATTGTTTACAGATTGGAAGGAGAGCAGGAGATAAATGGGTTTTTCACTTAAATGAAATATTTGGGAAAGCATTTGGCTTTTCCATTTCACATCATAGAGGTCAATGATTTTCCTTTAATTATTTTTATCAACATATCTTAAAATGCAATTATCATTCATTCTATTTCCCAGAACAGAATGCTAATAAAACATTTTTGTTCATATTTTTAAAATTGTTCCAAGCAGCTTGGATATTTAAAGAAATAAATCCTTGTCCAATCTGTTGCAATGGCAATATCCTTTTGTCTTTTTTGTTCCTGAAAACCTGTATTTAGCTATAAATATGAAATTGTGCATGCAGGATATTGTAGCTACAGGTTGAACGCACATAGAACATCTTACCTACCTATAAAAGTCAATAGTGCCTGCATCTGAGCTGTCACCTTCCTATCTTCTAAAGAAAAATCGTTACTTATAAAATGTGAGTTATAGTAAGGTAAATATCTAAAATGTAAGCTAAATCTATCATAGATTTCTGTATTAAAAACATCTGCAGTTATGTAAGATGTCTCTTATATGAACAAGTCTGTGGTCTAGTTCTTCCAGACTGGGATTTTCAAATAAGGACAACACAGGTTTCCCTTAAAATGGATGGAACAGATATCCCAATCTTATGCTCAGTTTCAAAGAACTCAGCCCCACACTCTGCTACATCCCTGTGCAGGGCAATGGGAGCAGTTTGTGAGGTTGGAAAACCTTACTATGTTCTCTTCTGTAATAATCAGCTAATAGTTTAATTCTTCATCACAAAGAGTTTTTCTGCAGTATCTGCAACTTCTGACATTTGAGGCACTGGTTTTATCTGGACTGAAAAGGAGGTCTGTGGTCAATGTGGTGAATTGCTCCGAGTTGATTTTGCAGCCCTGTGGCTAGAAAACAGCCCTGTGACCAGTTGTTGGAGCCTTTTGCACGACACAAGGTAGCTGTCGCAGTCCTGGAGCCGCTCACTCAGGTCTGGGTCTCAGCTCTGTCTGCCGAGAGCAGATGGGCAGAGTGCACAGGCTCAGAAGGGCCCTCCCTCTAGGTACCTCAGAACTCACTAACCTAAGAGAATTTTGTCCTAGAAGGGCTCCTGAGCTCCTTCAGTACAGACACTAAAAAAGCATAGATAGGATGCCTGTTTCAGAACACATGCAATCCATTTACGATGTGGATTATTGTTTACATGCATGCCACACCTGATGAGGAGATTAAGAATTGCTGTTCTGTGCCTCTTCTAGCAGCCCCATGGCATTATATTGTAGTATAATTAAGACAGAGTGCACCTTACATGTGCTGCTTGGCTCTGTAGGTCTTCGCTTACAATTTCCAGCCTCAGAAGACAAAACAGAGATGTGTCATGTGTACATACCCACTCAGCAATCATTGCTTACTTAATATTAATGCTGACTGAAGAAAAGACAATCCCGTTTCACAGTAACTTTGAAGGTTTCTATCACAGCAATAAGAAACAAGCCCTTCAGAGTGTATTTTTGTCCAGATGTCATTAGCAGGATGAACCCTGAGCTTTATCCTGAGAGCGTAAGCACACATTTAGAGCAAGGTAATGAGACACAGGTGCAAGTCCCTTTTGTGCTTGCTTCAGGGAAGATTTCTCAGATCATTCTTAAATTTGGCAAAAAAACCCTACAAATTATTCCCATTAAAATTGGATTTTTCTGCTGAAGAGGGTTGTTAGGTTGTAAAGTAACAGCTGGCATACAGTAGCATTCAGAACTGTGCCTTTACAGGTCAAACTTACCCATTATTCCTGTCAGATAGACACCATAGAGAGATAAACCAGTTGTGGCAGCATTCCATACTGTCCCAATTACAGCATACAAAAGGATGGAACCAAGATTTCCAAAGAACAATCTATTTGGCATAAAATATCCAGCATCCAAAACAATGGGGGGCAGCAGATAGAAGAAAAATACAGTTGGTGTAAGGGCAAAGGAGGCAATGTGATCTGCTGCCCATACGATGCCGCCAAGGAAGAGACCGAGAACAATCAGCAGAGCACTCTCTGGAACCACCCGAGTGACTTTGTGGGACAAGTGGAAAACTGCAACGAAAGAGAAAAACCATTTGTCAGAATTGGAATGGAGAAACAATTTGAGCAACAACTGTTGTTAGCTTGCAACTTTGACTTCACAGACTTCCTGCTTTCATTGGTATTTGACCCAAGACATGTATGGAATGCATGGGGTACAGACAAGGCCAGAACATAACCACTTATAAAATAAAATTAAAAGGTTGATTTTCAGATTTTATCCAGCATATTCCAACTTATATGAAACCAATAATCCATTACATTTATTTCCTTTACTGGATTATCTTCTTCGTACAGGATCTGTCTAGGAAAAGGTGGTCTTCTTTGCAAAGCAGTAAGCGCAAGACTGAAAAAGAAATGGTAGAAGTTCTGGAAATGTGTGACTTTATGGTTTATTTCTATATCTAAAAATACACATCTGATCTCCCAACAACTGTCTTTAGAAATGATTGGTTTACTAGCAGGTTTATTAGAGGATGGGAGAAGAATGATGAAAGAAGGACTAATTTCAAGACAACTCTTTTTAAATTTATGAAGAATATTATATGGCAATGTAGCCTGCAGCAGGAGCAGAATGGGTCAGATACCATGGGAGAACCCTTTTGGGCCTCTTCCTCAAAATCTCCCCAGTAAGGATTTCAGTTAATTCAGAGGCTTTCTGGCGGAATGGGGGCTTTAGTGATGCCTTCTTCATATATAGATATATTCATGGTATATGGTTCTGCAACAGGCCACTTTATTTCATATAAACAGTGTCATAAAATCTGTATCTTACAGTAGCATGTCTAATATGTTAATAAAGATGAACAGAATATGGTATATATGATAGAAAAACATGTAATGGTATGTAAAATTACAATTACAGGGAGAGAAATTACAGTGTGCCATGAGTGAACCTAAAGATACAGAAAGATGGCAAGGCCAAGACAAGAAAAACAGACTGTTCAAGATGACAGAAACAGAAATAAAACTACAAATATATGTGGCAACATAGATTTATAGTGCACTTGTTAGGTATCAGAGAAAAAAAAAAAAAAAAAAAAAAAAAGCAGAGGGAAAACCAGAGAGAAGTCAGGTCTACAAAGAAAGATGAAACATTAGAAAGGAGAAGGTGGCAATGGTGTTGGATAATAAGGAAGCACAGGTGTGCCAACTGACTTTCTTGGGTTTTCTATGAGCTTTTCCTTCAGTTTGTCTTAAATATTGATGTGTCCTAGATGGTCTGAACCCTGGCACTTTGTGATACTGACCCAATAAATGGGATTTTACTTATATAGCTTTGTGTTGAAAATGTGATTTTCACTTCAGAAAGAAAATTGCACTAAAAGCCACCTATTATCTCCTGGCTTGAGCATCAGCCTAGAACCGTGTTGAACCTTTTACAATGTTAATGCAAGTTAGTTCAAAACTAGTTTGGACAAGAAGCCATCATTAAGAATTCCAGTCTTTTAAGGTCTAGTGGAAGAATCTTTCCATGACTATGCAGAGATCATAGACCAAGTTACTTTACTGAAAGACCATTGTTTTTCCTCCCAGCCAAGTATTTGTCCTAGTCAAACATTTACTAGTTACCTTTTAGAGTGTCTTAAGGGCCCCATTCCTGAACTGTCTGTCTTCATCTTGGCTGCATCTACACAGGCAATGTAAGAAGCATCACCCGTCATTATAGTAGCCCTATAGATGGTTCCTACTACTTGTAAAACATCCATCAGAATAGAAAACACAAAAAGAAAAATTACAATGGCCTGCCTACGTCAACAATGAGCATGACTGTAGATGTTCCCAAGTATTTGTAGATAAGATTTGAAAACTAAGCCATGTTGGAACATAGCTTCACAGTGGGATTGGTACAACAGCAATCAGTCACACATGAAAGCAAACTGCATTCAGTGAAGTTGGCTAAACCTTGACAGTTTTCTGTATTATCTGTGTCATGCAATCAATAGCTGAATAACACCTTACAGAAACAAAGATTGTGGGTTTTCCCAGTTTTCCTCTCTTTATAATAAAATCCCTTAGGTACACATTTAAAAAAAAATAAAGAAGCACAAACTAGCTAGTATCCCATGTGTATAAATTGTATCATTTAACTTCTCAAAAGTGTTTTCTACTAGCCATTCTTGATTCCTTGAATTTCCAGTCAGTGAATTATCAACTAATTTATCACCTCACAGAGTAGGGATTATCTCCTTATCCCTGAAAATGAATGTTGCTGAGCTAGTCTTACTAACCCAAGTCTGTTTTCCCTACTCTTACGTTTGTAGATAAGCCACGACTACAAGAAGTTAAAGTTAAAAATTTGAAATAAACCTGTGAAGACTTGTCAGAATTAGGCATTTGGAAAAAACCCAATGTCTATCTAAAAATTCATATTCTGTAGAATTCTCACCTTTACAAACCACAAACAGTTTCTCCCAGGGAGTGCTAGGAAGCCAACCTGATTTTGGTTGTAACAGTGTCTCCTCCTAGAAATCGCATGTTTGGGTGAATCAGCTACATTGTATCTGTCTGTGTTGCCTTTAACTCCAACTGATTGATTATCTGTACCAGATTTTAACATTATCAGCAGTAAATTCTTCAACTCTGCTAGTATAAGGAATGCAGGCTGTGGACAGGAAAGTTATTGCATGAAGCAGGACTCCTGAGAAGTCTCTTCTCTTTTTTACATTTGGCCCAAGTAAAACCTGAACACTAGACTGTATTTGTTTTAAGGTAACTGCCTGGCTAACTCTGCAGGCTGCTATTATGCAATATATCTATAAACATAGAAATATGTAAAAGGAAAATACCACAACTGATGAAATTCAATAAACTAGTTTTAGATTAAGTTATAATTGGAACTTAAGTCAATGTTTGAATTTATATTTGCACTTATAGTGATTTTTTTTTTTTTTTTTGGCTCTGTGCATAAAGTTTATTCAATCAAGATTGGTCATTACCAGTAATTATTACATTTATAGAAATTGATAGAGATAGATTAATTCCAAATTCATACCTTAACAGTTTTTTAACAATTCATTATCCTGAAATTATGTCCCTGATACATTCTGAGTGTGCTACAAATTGTCATAATGATAGTACATTACTTTCATAAAGTTTGCCTTTACTTGTTTAGGAGAGATCTAGAAACAGTTCCACAAAATTATGTATGTCCCCATGACAAAGTAGAATCGGAAACTTTAATTACATCTACATGTCTAACATAAATAGGTATTTCACCTGACTGAGGAGTAAAATACAATTGAACAATAACAGACAAGGAGTTTAGTTTGATTCTGTTGTGAAAAAAATTATAAATATCAGGAGGGATGGCATGCAGTGCTGCTCAGGTAAATTACTCTGTGAGGGACCCATAGATGAAATTAAGTATATTTTCACTGCTGTTAATAATGAAAAATACATGAATATATTTTAGTGAGGAGAGGGAAAGAGCAGAGAAAGAAAAATTGTAGCCAGTCTATGGCATAAAAGAAGTAACAGTGTACAGGGCAATCTTGTGATCTATAAATTTTAACATTTATCATTTAGAATTCAACTACGTGTGTCTAGGTACAGTACTAGCGAAAAAGTTAAACATATGCCTTCCATCCAGTACAGGCTACACCTGGCTTGAAAGTGGGTTGGACTGGCTACTGGAAAAACTGTGTTTAAATTCGAGCTGAGCATTGCTGAATTAGAAGCTTTCTACAAAGCTAAGAAACAATTACATAGTATAAACTTCCTGTGAAAATTTTTTCTGAGACTTCCTTTGAGATCCAAGAAAAGGGACTGTGACATTTAACGTATTTGACGAGAAAGACAAAACAAATTAGCACTCTATGATTTGATGGCTGGGACCAGTTTCTTTTGACGCAAAGGAAGAAATATACTTTAAGTAGTAAGTTATTTTTTTATCACATTTTAAAAATGCAGTAACTTAAATCTTTCAGTGGAATTGCTTTCTAAGGCCATCTGAGACTGCTTTGCAAAATGATTCAACAGAACAACCTTTCTCATTCACTAAATTGAATGAAGACAGAAAGGACTGGTTAAACAGCAAGAATAATAAATAAAAGAATGATAAAATAGATAATGTACAATTCATGCTCAAGTCACCTAATATTTGTAGACACACAAAAAAAGTTTTTCTGAAGTTGGGTTTCCCATATTTCTTCCCAAACTATCTCTAACAGCACCTGTTTTTAATGAATACTGATTTTTGCTTATCAAGTGAAACATTTCAATGACTTAGTTCTAGAATTTTGTGCTTTGTTTCCAGCTGAAATGAACAATTCGAGATAGATATGTCACCTTTTGAAAATGCAGCACTGCAAAAAACAAAAATTTGAAACTACCTATTTAACATACTGTCAAATTTCAGGATTTATATGGTCATTTCTACACTATCTCATGTGACTAATGCCATTTCCATTAACTTTGTTAGTGTAAAATCAAGGCCATGAAAACACTGAAATAATTTTTTCAGCTAATATCACTGTCCCAGTCAGTCACAAAACCAACTGCATGTGCACAGTATGCAACATGTCATCCAGAAAAATCAAGAAATGACTTACAATAATGCCAGTAATTCTCTGCTAAAGTTTCTCTCCCATGTATCTTTGGATAAAATCCAAGGAATCACAAAATAATATAGATTATTAAAAGAATTTCAACCTCTTTTTTTCAGATTTATCACTTCTATAGTTCCCATGAATGCATAGATACGATTTTGCAAACACTTCTCAACTTATCCTATCGCTACCAGTGATCAGGGTGGGGTCTACCATATACATTTCTGCTCGTGGGTCAAATATGCACTGATAGTATGCTATTACTCTATTTTCTAGTTTTGACTTTTTAGATTCACATATAAAGATAAGGTTACCATATTAAATTAAGCAATGAGTGCTTCTAATTTGAGATCCAAGACTTGATTCTCTGTAGCTGTTGATAACCCTTGCCATTGACCAAAGTGAGTGCTGCAAACTTTTCTTCATGATTATTTACCTTTACAGAGATGCAAATCATAGTAT